ACCCATTGCTTCTTGTTCTACCCTCAGGTGCCTTGGAGAATAATTTGACTCCCTCTTCTTTGTGGCAACCCCTGAGATATTGGAACACTGCTATCGTGTCTTAATACTTAACCTTAACTGTTTAAGTTATAGATCCATTGTAAGCAAAACTCAGAAGCATGTAGATTCCTCAAAGAACAGCTTTATTGGAAATATCATATTGGCACTGATCCACTGATCTGGTGACATCATTCCTCCTTCCGGCCCGGTATGAGAACCTCCTCGGTTCCCAACAGAAAGTATTTTATTTTGACAACAGAATACCAGCTATCTCTAATCCCCCTTCCCTATTTCTCAGCTCCAGTGTGGCATCACTGAAGCTCCCAAGATGGCTTCGGGCAGGCCAGCTTCAGGGTTGACATTCATTCTTTAATTATTATTTTTTTACAAATGATTATGTAATTCAGAAAACTGCATATTTTACAAAAGGTTCTTTAACTTTTTCTATACATAATTAATTTTATGTTGGTATTTCCTCTGAAATAAATACAAGTAAAAAGTAAACCTTCCACCTATAAAGTGGCTTAATGCTTATTTTATTTTCAGGCTATTATGACAACACCATATTTCATAGGGTTGTACCTGAATTTATAATACAAGGTGGTGATCCAACTGGTACTGGCTCAGGAGGAGAATCTATCTATGGAGCCCCTTTCAAGGTAAGTCTCTGCTTTAGCAAGTTGTTTTGTGTATGTTCCTTTTGTTACTATACAAGCATGGCTCTTTTACAATTCGTCCCCCTTTTCCCTCCCTCCCCCCTTTGATTTCAGTGGTAGAAATTTGGACACAGAAGATGCGAGACATATTTTACTGAAATAGATAGAGCGTATTTGGCTAACTATTGAAAATAGAGGTGTGCTTTGTAGGATATTAAAAGATGAGTCTTTTCTAGGTTTTCCAAGAAATATGAGCTTATCCATAAAGACTTTAAACTAACAAATGTTATAAGTAAAATGCAAGTAGCCCTCACATAATGACAGCAGATGGGATTGATAACCCCATTGCTAAGCAATGCAGTCAATTTTACAACTCAACTGTGTTAAGCTCAGTTGCTCAGCAGCTCAGCTCCACTAACCATTGTGGTTAATTGAGGTATCATGTAACTGCGCCAGACTTGTCTGTTGCACTGCAGTCATTAAGTAGAATATCACATGACTGAGCTTTGTGCCATTTCCAGCTTTTTCCACTGATTTTATTTGTCAGAAACCGGCTGTGAGCTTGCAAATGGTGATTACCTGACCACGATATGCTATGACTGTTGTAGATGTGTGTCTGCTACAATGTGCCTGAATGGTGATCATGTTACTGTGGGGATGCTGGGATGATTGTAAGTTGAAGGACTAATTATGTAACTACATTTTAAGTGCTGTATAAGTTTGAACTATCATTAAACAGGACAGTAATGAATTGAGGATTGCAATTGAATTGTTCAGATATTGGTAAGAAATACAGTATGCCTTTTGTTATTGTTTTGGATTTCATCCTATGTGCATCAACCTAAATGAATTGGAGGCAATTGTGCACTACTTCTTCTTTGTCATAATTTACAGGATGAATTCCATTCACGATTGCGTTTTATTCGACGAGGACTTGTTGCCATGGCAAATTCCGAGCCTCATGACAATGGCAGCCAGTTCTTTTTCACTTTGGGGCGGGCAGATGAACTTAACAACAAACACACTATCTTTGGAAAGGTTTGGAAAACTTCTACTCAAATAATATTTACTGTCTGCAAAGATTTGTTCATATGTAATGTTCATTACTATTCTATTTGTGAGAACTAAAAAAGTGACAGGAAAAGCTTTCAAATTCTTTGGATAGGATATTTGAATAAACATAGACTGCAATATAAATAACTATATGTCATGAAGGGTAAAAAAAAGTGTATAAGCTAGTGAAAGAAGGAGCAGTAAAGTGATTAGTAGGAAGAATAGAAGGGAATATCGCTGTTCATTCTTTGCTATGCTAGTTCACTTCCTGGGTCAAATTAAGCAAGTTGTACCTTGTAACCTCTCCATGGTGAGAGAATTGATTAAACTAGTGGGATCAGCCACTTTATATATCTTGACAGATTCCAATGGGTGCTTTTAGATTTTGTAGTGATTTGGCAAGAAATTCCATCAATTACCTGGCCAATCCCTGGAAGTTGGGGTGGCCAGATCATTTAACATGGCTACTTCAGTCTTAAGGATTGCCTTGGTTAATAAATGAATGCTCACAGATAGAACACCAATAGAGATACTGAATATGACCAAACATTGATGAAAGCCCATGTTTAAACTTATACAGTGGCAGTACAGCAAAGCATCGGATTTCTCTTTCTTTACTTCACAGTGGGTGTTCAGTATTTTTATTTAACATGATCTGTTCCATACTGGGGAAGAGTGACCTTGGTAATCTGGTTAGAGGCCTGGAAAATGTTTTATGCAACACTGTGCATAAAGTCTCTCATATTTACTGTAGTTTTGATTTGGCATGAGTAGGATCTTGTGAATTTATTGGGGTAATATAGCAATAGCAATAGCAATAGCAGTAGACTTATATNTTATTCTTGTGATTGCTTGTTTTTATTCTGAATAAGCTGAACCTTTTTCATGCAACTGAAAAATGTTTTATGTTGCTGCTAAGAATGTAGCAAAATGGTCTAGTCTAGAGAGTTGTAAGGGCAGACTTTATATATAATTTCTGAAATATTGCTCAGGTTCTGCTTCCTAAACAACTGTTTTAACAGAGGTATGACATTATTTCCTGTAACTTAGCTATTTATAAAAACTTTCTTTCCCAACCTTTTGGTTGTCAAACAAATTTTTCAAATCAACAATGAAAAAAACTTAGGAGCCATATTTTAGGACACCTATTAGTTAACTTTTTATCTCGTAAAAAATAGTATTCTATTCAGTTGTCTGCCAGTTTGGACATCTAACTCTGCAATCCTAAACATTTCTATCTGCTTTTTTTATTAAAATATTCAAATCCTCTTACAATAAACTTGTAGAGATATAGGTCCAATTCTTACCATATTTGTGTACTTTACACAAGAGTATGCCTTCCTTAGCACCTCCTGCCTTATTGCTTCCATATTATTTTCTGTTAATTAGTTATTTTGCTGTTGATCATGTTATATCACATTCTGGAGGACATGTAGTAAATATATGCTTCAGAAGAGTAATTACGTACTGAGACTGATTAAAAAAATATTGATACCTGTAATGATCACATAATCATACATTAAATCTATTCTATAGGTATTATTGAAAACAACAGCTGGAGATATTGATATTGAATTATGGTCAAAAGAAGCTCCCAAAGCATGTCGGAATTTTATTCAGCTTTGTATGGAAGGTAATGACCAAGAAAAATACAATAGTTCCTAATACAATGTAATAATACTAATAAATACTACTACTACAACTAATAATAATAGAAATAATAATAAAGAAAAAAGTTTGGTTCATTGATATTGCAATACCTGGAGATGCGCGAATTGAAGGTAAACCGCAAGAAAAAAATCACAAAGTACTGGGACTTTCAAATTGAAGTTGTGTGACTGGGGAAAAAGAAATTGTGTGTTATCCCGATTGTAATTGGAGCCTTCAAAGCAATACCTAAAGGGCTACCTCGTTATTTGGAACTTCTAAATTTATCAGACTTGAACATTCTGATTCACAAAAAACCACCCTACTTGGAACAGCTTATATCCTTCGACGTTACCTTACACTTAAAGCTATTGCAGTACAATACAATAGCAGAGTTGGAAGGGACCTTGGAGGTCTTCTAGTCCAACCTCCTGCCTAGACAGGAAACCTATACCATTTTAGACAAATGGCTATCCAACATCTTCTTAAAGACTTCCAGTGTTGGGGCATTCACAACTTCTGGAGGCAAGCTGTTCCACTGATTAATTGTTCTATCCTTCCTTCACCCTTGGGGTTTCCAAGCATTAATCAAGTCTGAGTTATCTTTCTTTCTCAAGTTCAGGAATGATTTACCTTGCTGTTACCTTCTCCCTATCAGGTATAGGAAATCAAGAGCCAGGATACAGTTCAAAAGTACCGAGATTATTCCGTGGCGGATTAAGACTCACTGGTGCCCTAAGGCCTGACAAATCTTGGTGCCCCCCTCTTTTGTACATACTGTACAAATCTTCATATTTTTTTCTTTCTCAACTTTGTGGTGCCCCCTTGGGCCAGGTGCCTTAAGCACGTGCTTAGTCTGCTTAATGATTAATACACCACTGAGATTATTCCATGCAACCAATACACAAGAAGCTGATCTACTAATGGTCAGGGCAAGTTTGGCACTAGATAAGAGTCCATAATATT